GGTCTCTGTGTCCTCCTCCCGGCGCGTACCGCGTTCAGTGCGATTGCGTAGCGTCGTTATCATCGCGGACCGCCGTCGCGAGCTGGCGTGAACGTGTCGCGACAGGAACGCCGCCATCTTGTCCTCGTGTTATACGAGGAGGCGGCCATCTTGGACTCGTATCGTACGAGGGAGCCGCCATCTTGGCTACGTCGCGGTGGAAGAAGCCGCCATTTTGGCGAGCTGTCAATCAAACGTCCGCCATCTTGAATCAGCGACCGGAATATACTTTGTCCGCGTGTAGAGTATAGATAGCTCATACTATAGCGTTCACCGTAGCGTAGAGACACACACTATAGCGAGCCGACCTTAGTGTACGTCACTGGTCTTGTAATATTTTTTATAATAAATTTATATTTTTTTTAACTGTCTGGTCTATTCGATCCGGGAACTCAGTGCCTCCTAGTTCGCCGAACGAACCAGCCGATCCCAGTCTTTTTCGGAATTTTACCTGTTTTTCTGAGTTTTTCCAGAATTTGTCCGTGACTGGTAACTCGCTTGTAGTCTCTTGTTGTTCCTACGTGAATATCTAACTCTATAGCGTCTCGCGAAATCGCAGCAACCCAGTCGGTTCGCGAGTTATACTTAAATTGTAACTTTAAGCTACCAGTCTAGTTCCAACTACTGGTGGCCGGTATGAATACCGGAGCCTTCCGCTCATTTCGTAACACCACCTACTGGTGATAAACGCTACAGGTCAATCCGTTTTCTCACGTGTACCGCGTGTGGCCACCCACTGGCCATCAGCCCGGACCCTAAGTCCACAGGCTTACGCGGACGACCATACACCGGACGATGATAGTACGTCCTATACAACTGTACGGTTCAGTGACCGTACCTGCACTTCGGAAAGTGGAATAAGTGGATATTTCCACTTTGTTGGAATCCACTGGGTGTCGCTGCCCATTCCTATAACAGCGACTGGCGACCGTATAGGAGGAGATGTGAGCGAGGACCAGTTCGAAGCCGATCACTGGGTCAAGTTACCAACTTTTGGAAGTCACTGGTCAGGGCCGCCGGGGAGCCCCTTTTTATGGGTCAATCGAAACCCGGTCACAACCTAACCTAACCTAACCTAACCTAACCTAACCTAACCTAACCTAACCTAACCATACTAACCAAACCCAACGCACTGATACCAGGCCTTAAGCCTGAGTTATTCTGAACCTGACCAGCGTCCAGGTAACCAGAAAGATCCTAACCGCTGGGATACGATAGACTTCGGCTAGAAAGATCAGCCGAACCCAGAAGTACCAGTCGGTGTTCGATATGGTGCGAACCACCAGTCGGAGATCGACGAGAATAGGGATACATCGGTCACTGGTCGACTGGATACTCGGAAGTCGGAACGTAATAAATCGACCACCAGTAAAAATGGTGTCGACGGGCCGACTGGATGCGTAAACATCGAGAGTAAGCGACTGGAATAACGACATCCCGGTTAAACAGCGACGACTGGTCGACTGGATGTGCGAGAATAGATCGAAGAGTACAGGTAGCTCGACGCCCGTTAAAAGGTGTCGACAGGATAAAAGCTATAAAAATAGCAATAAACAACATCCCAGAGAATTGGGAGACCCGCCTACGCTTAGCGAGCGATCTGCCGAACAGATCGCTATTTTTGCATGCCTTTTGCGAGCCACGGGGCGAATGTAACACCCTCCGAGTGGCTCATTGCGAGATTATTATAATTTCCGTAATACCCGTGCAATCAGATAGACGCAACTAACGTTTTTCAAGTTCACTGAGTGAGCCATTAACGATCTGATAGCACGCGAAGCGTTTAACATATCGGCGGAAGCGAGAACCCGCCAATTGAACAAACGAGAGAGACCAGTAATTCGGTTACTCACTGGCTTCGCGGGCTAAAAACGGGGATATCCCTACCGAACGAGTGTCACGTGACACCTAAGCTATAAAGGGAACCCCCGGACAATGGATCGAGGAGTCGAGGACAGGCAGTCGCCTCACACGGATCGGAGAGCGTACCGTACTGCCTGCGTTAGATTGCGTCATCCGGCGTAATTCGCCATCGCGTACGTCCGCGACGCGTGTGCTCGGGTGATTAGCGTGTTGAGTGCTTGAGCCTGATTGGGATTACCGTTCAGAGGGTCAAGGGTAGCAGCCGTGAGCGGAGACTTGAACTCGCAGGGCCACGAAGGACAGCGTCCTCCCCTTCCCCGCCGTACGGGCGGTAAGTGCGGCGTAGCCGTTACTCGCATTCCGCGCAATTGCATGCCTTTGCAGCACCGACGCAGTGTCCTCCTCCCGGCGCCCTAATTACCGCGTGAGCGTGTAGCGTCGTTAGCCGAGTGCGGTGTCGGCACGCGTCAAAGATCAAAGGCGGCATCGGGTTTCTCAAAGGCGGCCGCCATTCTTGTCGCGTCATCGGGATATTCCGCCGTCCCCGCGCTTCCTAGTGCCCGCGCCTTTCACTAGAAGTTCGTTAACAATTTTGTAATCACTTTAATCGACCAGCGATAACGTTTTTTAGTTAGTAATGTTCATGTAGCCAGCCACTGGTAAAGTGCAATAAATTTTGTCATTTTTTAATTACGTGTTCATTCGACTCAGCGAATTATTTAATCCCTAATAGTTCGAGCAGTCCACTGAAAACCAGTTGTTTTAAAAGTTTATCCAGTTTTACATAAATAATTAGTGAAAAATACCCAGTCCTGCGGTCATCACTGGTAAATACTGTAGATAGACAAAGACACAACCAGTACAACGGTCATCCCTGGCACACACTGTAGATACGTTACCAGTCCTTCGGCTGCAGCAGGCCGAAACTGTAGATCGCTAGAATAGACTATAGAGACAAGCCCGGTCATTCGGTGACGACTGGTAGAGAGTATAGATACCCCTAGTCATAAAGTCACGACTGGTAGATACAGTATACGTCAAATTCCGGTCATAAGGTCACGTCTGGTAGAAACTGTAGAGGAAACTCCCGCCATTCGGTGGCGACTGGTAGTAACTGTAGAGCGCGTCCAGTCTCGAAGCGACGACAGGTAAAAAGTATAAGTACACGCCCAGGAACACGGTGATCACTGGTCTAGACTGTAGATAGCAATCCGGTCATTCAAAGACAGCTGGTAGAGACTGTAGCAAAGAGCTAGGGATTCCGTCATCGGTATCAACGGTCCGAAGCCAATAGACACGAATAAACGGCCGATAGACGAAGAGCGTAAGTGACTAAGAACGACGTCCAGTATACGTACGGTCCAGTGATACGAACTTGCAATTTCGGATAACAATAGAGTCTTTAACTTTCGAGTAGGCTCATCAGGGTGTCGCTGCCCCTCTTTGAGAATAGCGACTGGCGACCGTGAGCGACGAGGAGGCCCGCGTGAGAATAGGCTAGTTAGTAGAGTAGGCCAGCAATTCGGCACTCACTGGCAAAGGGCCACGCGCGAGTGCATGAGTGAGCCCGTCATCGGGCGCTCACTAGTAGTGATAGGATAAGTGTGGCGAGTGGACCAGGAATCTGGAATCCACCGGTGGGTTAGTCCAGGAGCGGACCGGTTAGCTGAGACCCCCTGGCCGAGAGTCCACCAGTCCCAGTATTCCGACTCCGACTGGAGTGCTGGTTGACAGGATCCAGATTATTACCACGCGATCGAAACACGGTTACAACCTAACCTAACCTAACCTAACCTAACCTAACCTAACCATACTAAAAAACTTAAGTCTTCACTAGAGGTCCGGTTACAACCTAACCTAACCGAACTGACCGATTCGTTTACAGACAAAGGAACCGAAATGGCGACCCAGAGGGAGAGCCGTCCGGAACCGGACCAGCCGCGCGAAAGACCTCCGGAGCCAGACCAGACGCGCAAGAGCGGCCCAGAGCCGGACCTGCCGGTCCTGAGCCCTCCGGAACCGGACCAGCCGCGAAGGAACACCCAGGGACCGGACCGGAAGCGCCCGAACCTGGGAGAGCCAGGACGTGACGGACCGGACCCCCCGGAGATACCGGTCCTCGAGGCCCAGAAGCCCGGGGAACGGGCGGACATATGAAAAAAGAAGAAAGAAGTGAGTCGGGTGATAAGATTCAATTTTTGTTTGCTAAAGATTTTAGTTGACTCGAGAAAGAATTTTCAGAAAAAGAGTTTTTTATGTCAAGCAAAAGATTTGTGATTTTACGTTATCTTAAGAAAAGGATTTTTTAATTTTGAGAAAAAGATTTAATTCGATATTTATCTTAAGCCAAAGACATGTTATTTTATGTTATCTTAAGAAAAGAATTTTTGAATTTTAAGAAAAAGATTTAATTCGATATTTATCTTAAGCAAAAAAGATTGTTTATTTTATGTTAATCTTAAGAAAAAGATTGTTTATTTTAGGTTAATCTTAAGGAAAAGATTTTTTATATTATGTAGCAGCTTAAGAAAAAGAATTTTATTGTACAAAACAAGCAAGGGAGCTGTCTGCGCCGGCGCGTCGGGGTGAATGAGCGAGAGGAATGGAAGAGTGAGAGAGAGAGAGAGGAGTGGAAGAGTGAGAGAGAGAGAGAGAGAGAGGAATGGAAGAGTGAGAGAGAGAGAGAGGAATGAAGAGGAGTTGGCTTCGAGCGTTCGAGGAGACCGGACGTGCCGGCTCGAAAACCCCGAGAGAGGCGACGCAAGGCGACGACGCGGCAGCTGCGTAAAAAGTGTAGTGCGACACGAATAAAGACTGGAAACGATAAAACGTGCAGTGAGTGCCCTCGAGGGTCCCCGTCCATCCTCCAGGGTCCTGATATATACTCCGTTCAGGACGGGTGGCGACCACGATCCGTGCTTAGAAAAGCGTGAACCTGCTATCTTCAACGGTGCGTCCTTGAACGGCGACAGATGAGCTGCGGGAGACGGGACGCCCTTAAGCCCCAATAGAGGTCCGGTTACAACCTAACGTATGATTGGGTGCTGGAAGTGAATCTGGAATCTGACTCCAGACTAACTTGTTATGCGGACGACACAATGTTACTGGTGAGCGGCAGAGACCCTGAGACTACTTGCATTAAGGCATCCATGTATGTAGCAAGAGTGACCAGGCGGATTGAACTCCTGGGTCTAGATATAGCGGAAACAGAGGCGGCCCTATTATGCGGAAAGGCGACGGACGGCTTATGCGTCCACATCAACGGAACGGAAGTACCGGTGACTAACGCTATCAAGAGCCTTGGCGTTATTCTTGACAGGGGTCTGACCTTCAAAAGGCACCTGTGTTACGTGGAAGAGAAAGCGGACCGAGTTCTGCGTGCACTGTGGCGCCTCCTTCCGAACTTAAAGGGGCCAGGGGAGGCAAAGCGAAGATTATACGTTAACATAATACATTCGGTTATGCTATATGCTGCACCCGTATGGGCGGACCAAGTGGCCATATTCAAAACATACCGGACTCCTCTCCTGAGAATCCAGAGGCACATGGCCCTCCGCGTTATTTCTGGCTACAGGACGATCTCCTACGAAGCGGCCCTACTTCTGGCCAGAATCCCCCCGGTGCACTTCCTGGCGTCAAGGCACCGCAGGGCTTACCAGCGCTTACAAATGGTGAGGGAAGCTGGTGAAGATGGGAATGAGACTAGACGCGAAATCGGGCTGGCAGCTGATCTCCTAATGTTTAGGCAATGGGAAGCCTCCCTTGAAGGAGAGGATTTACCGGGGAGAAGGGTCAGGGAAGCGCTTCTCCCGGTCTTCTATGAGTGGATGCACAGGAAAACAGGGGGTCTCCACTACCACCTGACCCAGCTCATGGCAGGGCACGGTTCATTCGGGGATTACTTGACAAGGATTGGAAAGAGACCCAGCCCGGATTGCCCACACTGCGGTGCGGGGGTTGACTCCGCGGACCACACGATTGGGGAGTGCCCTGCATGGGATGTACCCAGGCGTGACATGATTCGGGAGATAGGGGAGAATCTGAGTTGGCCTGCTATAGTGCGTGCCATGGTACAAGGGGGGGAAAAGAAATGGAAAGCGGTGTCCACTTTCGCCACAAAAGTACTTACGGCGAAAGAAGTTGCAGAGAGGGAAAAAGAGAAGAGAAAGAAAGAGGAGGAGGAGGAATCTCTCAGGAGGAGCTGATGAAGAAGAAGGAAAAGGAAAGGAAAGGAAGGAAGGGGATGGGAAGCATGCGTGTGTGTGTGTGGGTAGGCCGGTGCGTACGCGTGTGTGTGTGTGTGTGTGTGTGCGTGTATGGTGGGGAGGAGAAGAATGAGAGGGATGGCAGGATAGGATAGGAGAGGACGGCAAGTGGGCAAGTGTTTTCATGAGGAAGTGGGCGTGTGGCCCTTGCGTCGCTGGAGGGAACCTGATGTGTGGCCGTTAGGAACTTCCGGGTTTCCCCTGGCAGCAGGACGCGAAGAGACACGGCGGGGGTTTTAGTCGGTAAACCCTCCAGAGGAGGTCACCCTTCTCTGGGGGGGAGTCCGACACTACCCCGAGGCCTGATCGTTAGGATCAGGAGCCCACCTCGGGGTGTGCGTAACGCATTTCCCCCGCCTAAAAAAAAAAAAAAAAAAAAAAAAAAGAAAAGTAAGACTTATCAATCTAATCACTTAAGAATCAAGGGGAAATTTTTTGTTGAGACAACGTTCTCAAAAATGATTAAAAAACACATCCGATGCTTGGGACAAAACTAAACGTGACCAAAGAACTTACCTTAGGAAACCAACAGACGTAGACTTAAGAAAAAGGTGACAGCGCTGGGCAACCTGAAAGAGAAAGTAATCAGTATTAGTTGTTATTTCATTTTAGTTGGCACTTACCTAGATTGAGTGGAGAAGTCCCTCGAAGTCCCGCGATGCAGTACCTGAAAGAAAAGAAACAATTAGTATAAGTCAATATTTAAGTTAAACTTACCGAGTATGATCCGCAGCTGCACAGCGTTGTCCACCTTGTACCTGAAAAAAGAAAAAAGAAATTAGTAATAAGTCGCGTATTAATCGTAAGAAGTTTTATTCGGCAAAGATTTTATTTGACTTAAAAAAGGATTTTTTTTTTTCTTATGTTCGTATAATCTTAAGAAAGAGATTTTTTTATGTTTATCTTAAGCAAAAGATTTGTTATTTTATCTTAAGAAAAGGATTTTGTGTCAGTATAATTTTAAGAAAAAGATTTATTTTTATAGTATCTTAAGAATTGGATGTCTTATGTTTATCTTAAGAAAAAGATTTATTTTTATAGTATCTTAAGATTACGATTTTTATGTAGGGTGTTAAGAAAAAGATTTGTTAATTTTGTAATAGCATAAGAAAAAGATACTAGCTTTGTAAAAACGATCACGTGAGCTGTCTGCGCCGGCGCGTCGGAGTGGAAGAGTGAGAGTGAGAGAGAGAGAGAGGAATGGAAGAGTGAGAGAGAGAGGAATGAGAGAATAAAAAGAGGAGTTGGCTTCGAGCGTTCGAGCGGACCGGACGTGCCAGCTCGAACACCCCAGGAGACGCGACGCGAGGCGACGACGCGACGCGACGCGAGGCGACGACGCGGCAGCTGCGTGAGTGTGTAGTGCGAGAACGAATAAAAGCCTTGAAACGATCAAGTGCAGTAAGTGCCCTCGAGGATCCCCGTCCATCTTGCAGGGTCCTGCCGTATACACCATTTCTAGGACGGGTGGCGACCACGATCCGTGCTTCATAAAGCGCGAACCTGCAATCCTCATCCGGTGCGTCCATGAGCGGCGACAGAAGAGCTGCGTAAGACAGGACGCACTTAAGCACCAACTAGAAGTCCGGTTACAACCTCACGTGGCTGAGGCGTCAGCTGCGTGAGGTTAAAGAGGAACGGGATAAAACCAGAGAAAGGGAGCTTCGGTTGCAGAAGCGGGTTCGGAGTCTGGAGGATCACCTGGCGAGGTTGGAGGCAGCGCAGGGCAATGGCTCCGGTGCGCGGACCTCCGTAGCGTCTGATGGTCGACCCGGGTCTGTGGCCTCGGGCTTCACTTTGCCTTCGCTGAGAGGAATTGCAGAGAATGTCATGATGGAGCCCGACGTCTCTGCTCTACTTGCTCTACGTGCGACGAATAACGTGGACGCGGGGAAAACCCGCGCTGGCGAGCGAGCGCGGGAACGAGCGGGTGAACATGCGAGCGAGAAAGAGCGTACGAATGTGGCCGAGGGCGTGCGAGCGGAACCGGGTAGGCGCACGCCTGCGGCGGTGCTGGGATCGGCTACCGTGGCGCCACCCATGGGGGGGCTCCCGGTGATGAGGTCTTCCCCCCTTCACTGGGAGGTCGGCGCGGCGGGACCGACCGCGCTCGGCAGGTGAGATTCTGCGGGACTGCGAGCCCTGGCGTGCCGTACGGGTTGTGGACGTCCGAGGCGGTCGCGGAGGCCCGGGCTGCGGAGGAGCCGCTGGTTCGCCGACAGTGGTTTCTGCAGCTCCGGGCCCCGGGACTGCCGAGTGTTCGTGTACGTGAAGCGATCCTGCCGGAGTTTAATCTCTGACTGGATCGTCCGAATCGTGGCGGCCTGACCTTCCATGTCACGCAGTTGCTGACGGACCACGGGGTGTTCGCGGAGTTTCTCAACAAGATCGGGAAGTACCCATCTCCGCAGTGCCTTCACTGCGGAGACACGCGCGATGACGCGCAGCACACCCTGCAGCACTGCGTGGCGTGGCGGGTGCAGCGCGAGGAGTTGGTGAGGGTGGTGGGCGGGGATCTGTCCCTGCCAGCGGTTGTGCGGGGGAGCCTCCGCTCTCGTCGGGCCTGATCAGCCGTGGCGATATTCGCCGCGGTCGTGCTGGGCTCGGAGAATGCGGAGAGAGCTCGCGAGAGGGCCGCCGACCGCTAGGTCGTGGGCTCTTCCCCCTCTTCCACCTCCCAATCGGGGGACCGGAGTTGGTCCGCTCCCTCCCCCGGCTCCGCGCCTTTGTCCTCGTCTTCCTTGTCGTCGTTGTTGTCCGGGGTGTCGGGTTCGTCATCGTCGTCGTTGTCCGGGGTGTCGGGTTCGTCATCGTCGTCGATCGTCCGTCTCGTCATCTTCGCAGTCCTCGTCGTCGTCGTCGCTGTCCTCGGGGGGGTTTCTTCGGGTCCGGATGATGGCAATGGTCGTCACCATCCGTTTGACCCAGGGGGGCGGGAGTAGGCAGGGAGAGGTGCGGCTCTCCCACCTGAGTCGGGAGTAGCGGCGCGCATGTGTGGCGGGGAGTCCGGATGGCTAAGTGCCGTCTTGCATGGTGTTTCCCGGGCTCTCCGTACTCAGCACGCTGTGGGCCGGGGGAGTTTTAGTGGGTGCAAGCCCCACACTACCCTGGGATCACCCCCAGCACGGGCCCCAGGGTGTGCGTAAGGCATTTCCTCTCCTTAACAAAAAAAAAAAAAAAAAGCTGGACCGTGGAACCAGGTGATCCGTGAAGGACCCCATGTGGTGCATGGTATCCCTTAATCAGACAGGTTTGAAAGACCTTCAAATAGATTAGTAGATAATTTCAACCATCAGTAACCATAAGATTATAACATATATCTAGTATGGTTTGATATGGTACCAAATTACCAATCAAGGAAGCATTGCGATAACCAAGAATGGTAACTGAACCACCTAGCGTGGTCACCAGCGGAAACAAGGTCCTACCATAGTAGGCGACACCCGAGGAGAGTATTAAGATCGTGCTCCGGTCACAATAGGAGACTAGAACTAGATAGACTCGTCTACCATAATAGGGACCATAGTACCATAATAGCGGAAACCCTGGTCGAATCACCATACGACCATAATAGGTACTAAAAACCGCGATAGGCACCTTCTTACCATAATAGGAGAGAGCTCGCATATTTTTTCTGGGCAGTCGTACCCCGGTCACAACCTAACCTATATCTGAGATGCATTCGAATTGGAGCATCTATATCTAGATAAATTTTTGCCTGTCGGATACATTTCACATATATTTTTCAGATAATAAATTATAAAAGGTTTGTCCAGTATATTTTATACATTAACATTATATATTAGTCAAATATTCTGAATACAAATATATTGACGATTTTTAATTCTGAAGATAAAACCCCCATATTACCAGACATGTGTCAAACAATGCTATACAGATTCGAGCAGCGCGCGTAAACATTATTCCTATTAAGTGATGAAACTTTATAATTGACCAGTCGTATGCTACAAAATCTTTATTTCAATTTAAATAGCGGGCGAACAAATATGTTTGTTAAGTTGCGCCCTCAGTCGGCGACTTTGCGACGAACCCACCTGAAGCTACCACTGTACGGGACATTATAAATTTGAACCGCGCGTTAATACTATTAACGTTAAGTAATAAAGCTGTAAAATGGATTAACCGCTTGCTGGAACATCTCTAATTTTAATTTGAAAAGCGCGCGTTAATATATCAAGTATCCAGCAGAAATCCCCCGTCGCCTTCGACACTGTAAAGGCTCGTCTACAAAAGCTGTAAGAGTATGGCTGTAAGGTTGCAAGACACGAAATGAAATATTTTCATTCGCTGACAGCTTACGTTACAGCCTTACAGCCTTAAGGTGCGTTTACATAGGAGTGTCGAACGTCGAGCGTCAGAGCGTCCAACCAATCAGTTTTTCATTTCTTATTTCAGGGATAAAAAAAGGAACTTTGGTTGGATGCTTTGACGCTCGACACTCCCATGTAAAGGCACCTTTACTCTTCCAGCTATTGTAAACGAGCCTTAAGACCCGTTAAACAGTCCCTGAGGCTACACAGCTTGGGGACAATCACGAGTAGGCACAACGTACGTACCGAGACGGCAGTGGCCGGATGGGAGACCCCAGCCAATCAGAAGCCGGGAATTCGTCTCCCGCCGAAAAGCGGCTACATGCTGCGGCGAGGCAAGATGGCCTCCAGTTACACTCGGGCACTCGAGCCGCACGGACCGCGTCATTCTCGAGCAATATACTGCGTCATTGTCGCGGCGTTAGTAATGTTCGAACGCCTAATTAACGCGGACGCGAGGTCCTCTCATTAGCGAGTGTAGTCTGTAATCGACACGCGAGAATTTGCAGCTTCTCGTGTAATTCTGATGACGTGTCTCGACGAAATCGCGAAAAAATATATCGCGATCGGGCACGAATTACAAGCGTACGTGTACGCGGACGCGAAAAG